GCGGCTGTAACGGAGCCGGATTAGCCGGGCAGAGGAGGATCCTTTACAGCAGCGGGAGCCGGCCCACTTCGCCTTTCCCAGCACCTGTTACTGCTGGAGCCCGTTCAAAGGACACGCCACTCTGGCCTGTCCCCCGTGGGCTGGGGACACGCAGACAAGGGGCAGGGACAGACTTGCCTCCTGCTCCAGCACAGCACCACAGGGAGGGCTGGCATTGGACACAGTGGCACCCCAAAACCGTCCCCTGGGGGTGGCCTGGGTGAGCTGGACAGGGTACAGGCTAAGGCTAAGGCCCTCCAAGGTGCCCACATGTGACACAAGGTGGCCACTGGCCAACCCATGGGGATGGTGGCCAGGAGCAGCTGGTGATGGTGCTGGTCCCTGGGCTGGTGAGCTGTGGCCAGCTCTGCCCACTGGCACTGGCCCTTTGGGAGGGCAGCTCCAAAGGACCCTGTGCTCTGTGGGTATGATGTGGCACCTCGGGGCACTGACACTGGGCCTTGATGAAGGTGACAGCAGCTGGGAACTGGGCACTGGCCACTGGCTGCAGCCTTCCCTGGGAACCAGCTGAAAGACTTTCTGCAAAATCAAGTGTTTTGAGAATCAGGGAAAAAAACAGAGGCTCCAGAGGGGTTGTGCTGTGTATGGGTGCTGCACAGGCATTGCCAGCTCTTTCTGGGGTGCTGCACCTCAGGCACTGCGTGGGGCTGAATCCTGGCATTTGCTGGAGGAGTGTGACTCTCCCCAGGCCCAGGCTGGCCAGGTGCCCCCGGGGAGGCTGAGGTTACCCTGAGCTCCTCCAGCCTCAGCCCCTGCCAGCTGCCAGCCTGGTCCTGCCTCCCACAGCCACACCAAGCTCAGGTCCTGCCAGACACCAAACCTGGCTGCTTAAACCTTGCTTTGCTTTCTCCTTAGTTTAAACCTTACCTGTGGCAGGGCTGGAGGCTGCAGCAGCAAAGGAGGTGGGGAGGCTGCCCTGGCCAGTGCCATCCATGATGGAGCTGAGTCAACCAACAAGCAGCAGCTGACCTCCAAGAGCAGTGCTCACTTTGCCTGCAGCACCTCTCAGGAGGACCAACACTGCTCAGGCAGTGCTGCTGCTCTTTGCTCATTGGCAAATCCCAGCTCCCGTGAGCCACCAGCATCTGTGTACCATGGCCTGGGGTCAGACTTTGCCAGTGGTTCACGTGTGGCATTGAAACTGAGAAAAGCCAGGATGGGAGCACAGCTGTTCCTCTGTCCTTGAGGTGCTGCTGTCCCACCTGTCCCTGCCCTGGCCTGAGGCAACCACCATCAACACCTCAATGCAAGAGCAACACTTGCTCAGTGGGACACAGCTGGAGACTCCTGAGCAGATATGGAGCTGTCCTCCTCCAGCCTTCACAGCTGGGATTTGTGGTTTCAACCAGGCCAGCTCCTTTCCTGAAATCCATGGCAGGGCTTGGAATGTGATGAGCACGAGCAGGCATAATGCAGGAGCAGGCACACAGCTCCAGCTCACTGACGTGTTGATGCAGTTGGGTACAAGCAGAGGTTGGAGCATCACCAGCAGCCACAGTTCTTGGTGACAATGACACACACGCTACCCAGCCCTGGCACAGCCACCACTCCTGTGATGAGTGGGAGTCCCCCACCTTGGCCTCTGCAGGGCCACAGCCAGCAATGACTGGCCAGATGCTGTGCCTGGCCAGTGGGGCCTCTGCCCATCGACTGTCATCGCCAACATACAGTTTGGAATTGCCTCTCTCCTCCAGCTGAGGGCTGCCAGGCACCTGGAGGCCACCAGTGTCACTTCAGGCACATACTGCCACCACTCCGCCAGCCTTTGGCTCTGCACCCTCCTGGCAAACCCGAGGTGGAAGGAGCACATCCATGCCCAAGCACGAGGCAGGAGCCCATGAGCCAGAGCCGTGCCCCACAGCCCCCTTGGAGCTCTTGGTGTGATGGACACTGGGATAAAATTCTCCAAGGAGAGCAGGAGCAAGCAACTGGACACCAGCCAGCCTTCCCAGGATGCTTGCAATCTTCCACGCTCCCTGGGAGCAAGGTTGGTCTGGGCACAAATCCCTGGCACAAGGCGAGGAAGCAAAGCCCTGGGTGCGGGTACTGGGGAGCCATGGCTTCCACAGGCAGTGGGGGACCATGGCTTGGCACTAGCACATATAAAATTCATTTGTGGGCAGAGAGAAATAGGCTGAAATCAGACCTTTGGGAAGAAGGAATTGTGGAATTGAAGGGCAGTATCTGTTCCACTCCAGGATTTCAGATGCCTTGGTCCAAAACCACACGCCCAAGGAGCAGCACAGTGCCCTGGGGCTCTGCAAACCAGCCACCACCCAGGCTTCTCAGCCTGGGCTTGGGCTTTTTTTTTTCTCCCTTCCCATTCAGGAACTTAAGCCAGAGCCTACATTGGCTGCCGCTGGGAAACAGCCTGTCCTGGGGCTATCTGGCAGCGCCTCAAGCACGCCGTTCCCTGGCGACGCCGTTGTCACAACTGCGGCAGCACACTTTAACCTTTACGTTTACCCTGGGAAGGGAGGCTCCGCGGGGCCAAAGCCGGCCCATTCCCGGGAAACCCTACACCTCAGCTAAATCGAGCAGCAGGGAAGGCTGAACAACATCCCCACCTGAATCCCAGCCATGCTGCTGAAACACAAACCAGCCAGGCTGTCTGGCTTAACTGCTTCCATCAGAACCAGGGCTTCCACCACGAGCTGCCATGGTGTCATGACAGGTGTCAGCAAGATGATGGGAAAAACAAGGAAAAATCCCAGCCTCATCAAAAGAGCATCCAGAGCGATGTGGCCATCAGCAGCAGCAGCAGGACCTGCCCAGATCCAGGAGTTCTTGCCAGGTTCAGGCCAGGTCACACAAGCAGCTGCAAAGGTTTCCCAGTGGAGGCAGAAGGGAGAAGCATCATCAAGCCTTTTCTTAAGAATTTATTCACCAGATAATTTGATCTTGCAATCAACATGAAAGTCCAGGAAAATATTGTCTGCCTTTAAGTTCCAGCCCTAGTCTGTGTTCAGCAAATTATTTTGATGACAAATTGAGTACAGCCCAACTAGAAGAGCAGAGGAAGATTTTGTGCCCAGATCTCCACTCTCCTCCTCCCAATCCTTGCTCTCAAGGCATGCACATAAGGGTGATGAACTTTGAGTACTGGAATACAAAAATTTTGTTTGTAAAATCCACACAGAGAATATAGATTTTACATCAGTTTCTTAACCTACCCTGACTCTAAAGGGAGGTGCTGCAACAGCACTTAGTTAAATTCCAGTCTGTTGATCCCATCCTATAAATTTGTTCTCCCCAGCAGAAAAATCACCTGCCACCCTTTTCCTGCTGAAGCCTTGGCCAAATCCCATCCTCTCCAACATCCAGCTCCTTCAGGACATGATTTTTATACTTTGTACACTAGAGCAGTTTTCCCACCATGTCAGCACTTCCCTCCTAACTAAGAGAACAGGTCCCACACCCCAGCCCGTGAGAACCTGGTGGGTGACTCCAAGCTCATCCAAACACCCCAGACCCTTGGAGGCACAGCTGCCTGAGGCTCCGGCCCCTGTTTGCAGTGCATGGGGAATACAAGAGGCCATGTCTGGGGGGAAGATGTAATGTCTTTTCTTAGACCCAAATGATACCATTGGGGAAAAAATACTGCCAAGCTGTCAGGCACACAACCCCTTCCTCAAGGCAGAAGAGGCCATGTAGGGCCATCAGGGAAATCCAGCTGCTCCATCCTTCAGGGATCAGTGGCTGCTCCAGTTCCACGGCCTCATGATCCTGCTTGCCTTCACATTCTTCAGCAGCTCATCATCATTCCAGCTTCCCCTGACTCATCATAAATATTTGCTCCTTCTGCTGCCCACACGCTGCCTTCTCCAGAGCTGGCACTCGAGGAAAAAACATCTGAGGCTCTGTGATGTCCCCAGCCAGTAGCAGGTCACAGGGAACAGCCCCACCATGACAGAAATGGGGTTAAGGCAGACAGGTCAGATCCTCATGGATTTTCATTTTCAAGAAGAGGATGCTGACATGTTCCTTGTGCTCCAGCCACATTTGCTGTGCAAATTGTCACAGCAGCAGTGACAGCAGTTTTTTTCTGGCTGTCCTGTAACTCTCAGCTTAGTGACACAGGGCTATCAGCAAAGTCAGAAAAATGTGGCTGAAGGCAGACTGGGTGATTAGATCAAGCTTTTGGGTCAACCTCTGCCACAGCTACACAAAGATCCTCAAGAGAAGGGAAGGACAAGCTGAAACTTGAGCAAAATGGAGCCGTGTCTGAGCTCACCATTTCCAAGAACCCACACTGCCACTGGGTCATTCATCCTTCAGTACCAACCTACTTCCCCCAAGCCTCTCACTCTCCAGCTCCTCAGTCACTAACTGCATAAAAACATTAATTTTTTTGAAGATTCTTTGTATTTCAGTGTGGGTGGCTTTTCCTCTTTTAATCCCAGCACTGAAGTTTGAGGCTGGTGCTCTTGGAAACACTCCCATAGAGACCCCAGCTGTTCTGCAATGACATCTCTTGAGCATCACACTTTTTAGGAGAATTCCTGCAGAAACATCATCCCTTGGGTCTAATAAATGTTCATCTTGGAATTTAGGTCTCTAAGGACTTTCTTCCTCTGTTACTTCTTTCAGTCTAGGAGTAAAATAGCAATTGCTTGATGCACTTTGGCAAGAATGAGACAGCATCTCTAAGCACCCCCTTAGGTAGACTCTAACATCTAGTTTGAACTCTCTTTTTCACCCAAAAATCTGAACAAAAGCTACACACACTGGAAATACTTCGACAGCATCCCAGTTCAGAAGAAATGAAAGCAAATGTTTTCCATAACCAACAAACAAGAAAGTTTGTCCAGTTAGGACAAATTAATTCTAAATTTCCCTTTTCCCCCCTCTCTACTAAGTAACACAAGTAGCCCTGCTCATGGGTGTGAGCAGGTATTTCAGGAAAATATAAAGGTAAGAAATCAGAGCACAATACTAAGTAAGAAATAATTGTTAAAACTTTAATCTAGATGTGTCCACTCTTCATAATGCCAGCAGTTTTGTCCTCCAGCACATTTGAGCACTCGAGCTATGTTTAGCTCTGCTTGCTGCCCAAACTAGCCAGAGATGCTGATGGCTCTGTAGCCAAGAGACCTGCACTGGCAGCAGCTGGGGCAGCAGCTCACAGCAAGCCACTTGCCAGATAAATGGTTCCCCAAACAGGACTTCAGGTATAAAACATCAAGATGGTTTAATACTCTAATATACACAAAGAACTACTTTTAAGCGTGGGCAAGATTTATATTTGTGGTCATCTAAACATCAACAAAGAAGGCCAGACCCGCGCTACACTGGCTTGAAGGAACCTCACTTAACACAATTCAAGCTAAATGTAGACTAAAATGCTAAAAAATAGACACTTGAAAATAGCACTTAGTGTAAAAACACAAGACAGCTCTGCCAGATGCACACATCTGTGTGGCCAGTCTTTATCAAAAACTCTTCTGCAGGAAAGGGCTTCAGCCCACTAGCCAGAGACAGCGAGCAGATTAGGAATTTTTATTTAGTTAGGTACACAATATCTGTATGCAAGATCAAAACTTGGTTTAGTCTCTAGAGAAGATGGGGTCTGGATACACAGCAAGGCCAGGAGGCACTGCTGAAATGCCACGGGCTCAGGTGGAGTTTAACTACTCAGTACAACAATGAAACCAAGCATAGGAGTTCAAACTGAGCAGTCATGGAAAAACAATTGCTCCCTCTCTCCTGCCAAGGGAATGGAGAGGGATGGGATCTCCCAGCAGTTGTCACGTGGATGCTCATCAGCATCGGAATCTGTCTGAGAAGTTGGGAGACTTTGGCACAGTCAGTGGTTGGTGACTGGACTTCACCTCTAGGCTGCGGTATTTGCGTATTGGGTTTGCCTTGTGAACCTGTGGAAAAATAAATATAAGCAAGGGCAAAACAAAGCAAATGGTTGCAGTTATGATGAAGCTGAAATTTGCAGGTGAGCTGTAGATGAGGTGAAGGCAGGCATCTGCCTGAGACCACCACACTCTACCCTGGGCACTGGAGCAAGATAGTGGGAAAATGCACAGCACACATTAGGGTTGTGAGTTTTACTAAGATCATTCTGCTTTGATAACTACACATGTGCAGCTCCAAAACTCATCCATCTCAACACAGCTGCCTTCTTTGTTTGCATGGTTTTGTAGGTTTGGTTTTTTAAAAGCAGTTGTGAAGTTAGTGAGTCATCAATTTGCAAATGGGAACCTTGAAAAGGCAGTTTTAGCACAGCTCAACTGTGACATTAGCTCCATAAGGATAATCCCACATTCCTTTGGGTTACTTTATAGCCCTTGCTCAGAAACAGCTCACTTACCATTTCTTGTCTTAGCTTAGCAACTTCTTCCTTTTCACGCTCCTCTTGTTCCTGCCTGATCTTCTCCTCATACCTCTCCCTTAAGGCTTCTGCGTCTGCCAATCGCTTTTCAAATTCTTGCCGTTCTTTTGCTCTTCTTTCTGTTGCCAGCTCAAAGCTTTCAGGAACTACAGAACCAGAAAGGCTCTCTAAGTTTAGAAATAGAGGAGATAACATTGGTTCAAAGACAGTCAGGTAAAGAAGAGCAGCACTAAAGTCAACGGAAGCCTCCCTTTGGAGAGCTTCCCCTTGGCAAGGGTGGTTAGGAGATACCTCCAGGCTTCAGGAAAAGAGAAAACTTTACTCCCAGACGTGAGCAGTGTTAATGCAGACGTCACCCCGTCATGGGTGTTCTCATGGGAGGGAGCAAGCACACAATTGTTAGTACAAACAAGCTTTTGGCTGGTTTTATGCTCTACAAATCTCAGCCTACCCAAGCAGTAAATGCCTTCATCTCACTAGAAACGGGAGGGAAAGAGTGACAGCACTGCAGAAATGCCAGCTGTCTCTGCAGGGAGCTCCTCACATTCTCAGTACCCTTATCCTGAGCTGGCACACATCAATCATCTGCCAATTGCAGCAGAGCTTCTAAATACAGCTGCCATGCTGGAGCAGAACAAGGGGGTGGAGAGGAAATCCCCCTGCTCCCAGGGGACACAAGCTGTTAGGCAATTAGTTGATTAAATGCAAGGCTCTATTGGCTGTGCTGATGAAGAAGAGGCAACAGCCAGAAAAACACCACTTAATTGCCTCAGTTCTGAGCTGTCAGCCAAGCCCATGTAGCAGTACTTGCAACTCTACCTGAGAGTATCCTATGTTCCTTTTTGGGCACAAAAGGCTCCTGGTACATCACTGTGTTGGGGCGAGCTTTAAAACATGCTGCCTCTTTCTGCCTTTTCAAGTCTTCTTCAAGCTGCAAGAGAAGAGAGCATGTCAAGTGCCAGGCAGAAAGAGACCATCTCCCCCCTGACCCAGACTCCAGCACTCCCTATGCTAGAAAACCCATGCTGACTCAGTCAAAAAATTTCCATAGAAAACTATATTAAAGCAAAAAATTGGTGTCACTTGTTGCACGATAGTTGCTTTGCCAAAAGATAGCCTGAAGAAAGTTTCAGGTGTCCACTGCAGACTTCACATGAGAAAAGCAGTGCATTATTTTTTTGTCAATAGCCAGCAAAGAGATTCAGCTGCACAGAGCTGCTGCTTAGAAAATGCCCCACAGCTGTTCATACAATTGTGGTAAATCCCATAATTTACCATTAAGTGAGAAAAATAAAAACAAACCATTGACCAATCCTTAACCCAATAGCATAAGTCTCATGCCAAGTACAGAAAAATTCCTTGCTCCAACTCAGCTACTGATTCACTTCAAGGAGGACAGTTTCTCTAGTCAACCACAACTCCACCAGCTGATTTAAGTCTGGTCATTCCCATTACCCTTTTCATCCTACCTGCTGTTTCCAGCTCTGGAGCTTGGCAGCTCCCCGTTCATCCACCTGCAGATGGAATGGTTCAGGCTGAGTTGGGGTTTTGACCTTCTTCTCTGGCAGTTTAACTTCGTCAAAGTAAGGCAGAGGCAGCGCTTTGAACTTTGGCACCTGAAATAAACAACTCAAAATATTTCTTGTCCTTTCCTTGGAAGTTTAATAGACAACAGCAAATCCTATCACACTCTTTTTACTGAAGGAGTGGAATCCGAGGTAGCTTTTAATTCTTACCTCTTCCTTCTGTAGTTCTTCTATTTTTTTCTCTTTTTGTATTTGTCGCTCTCTGTCCCGGGCATCGAAAGAGAAGGGGCAAACTTCCACGTGCCTCTGCTCTGGCATTTTGGGTTTGAAGGGCACTCCATAATGTGGCATAGGATTAGCTTTGATCACAGCCACATCCTCTTTTTCCTAAAAGGATATTAGCATTAGGAGCTGATTTTTTACTTTTGTATAGGCTGCAAATCCTGCCAAGCAAAGCCACAAAGAGCTTTGATTGAGCTCCTTTGTATGACCCTGCTGTGCCCCTTATCAAACAGTGGACACTGCAAAAATTAGGAATCCAAGAAGCACCAATTTACTGGCATCCTGAACCACAGGCCCAATTCTTCCTTTTTTTGAAACCACAGTCAATTCTAGTACTCAAATGATTTGAATAAATCAGAGTGTAATTAAGATCCTCTTGACAAGGAGGAAAGGAAGAAGTATGTGAAGCTTTCAGAATCGTGCTCCCCACCTCAGGGAGAAGAAAGGTCACGTGTAATATCTGCCTTAGTGACAGAATAGGAAAAAATGAGAAACATAAGCAGTTCACCTTCCTCATTTATAGCAGCAACACCTCAGAAACCCTCATCAGTGCCCTAGCATTGAAATTATTTCATTTTTAATGAGAATTCAGTTCCTGTAAAATGAGTAGCAATAACCAGATTGTTTCAAGTGAAGAGCACAGACAAAGGTAACCACTGGAGGAACTGCTCACAGGAGGGAAGGAAGGAGCTTCCAGCCCCAGAGCATCCCACCCACATCCAGAGGCACAGCAGGCACCACAGTGAGAACTGGGCCTGGCTCCAGCCTTGTCACAACTGTTACCTTTTCCTCCTCTCTGCCAGACACACGGGTCCTGCTTCTCAAGGTGAAGGCTGGAGACTTGGGGACTGTAACAGGAAGTGCTTTCTTCTCTGGAACACCCTGTTCAGAAAAGCCAGTAAGGAGTTACCCAAGGCCAAGTGCCAAGAAAACGCCTCAGAGAAACAACCTGACAGCACAGGATGTACCTACTGAGGTTCTTACCTAATGACAGACACTGTTTACTGAGATCATTAAACACATAATGCAACATAGCTACAAACATTTTGAAGCTCATTGCAACCAATTCCTAAGCCTGGGTGATATTAAACTTCTTACCACAACATCCTCCAGGATTTTTGTGGGACATGGCCTGGAATGGAATTCGAAGCGCTCTTCCTCCTGCTGCTTCTTACTCTCACGCTCCTGAATCCTTTTTTCTATTTCCAGCTGAAAGCCGATGGGTTGAGTGAGCTTCTTCAGAGGGGGTTTCTTGGGCAGGAGTGGCCCACCCTCAAAGATTTTGTGATTGACTTCTCGTGCTTTGAATTTGTACCTATGCAGGAATAATGGAGACAGTCACCAGTTGTACATTGTATGTTAGTGTGCAGCTCTAGTAGTAGTTAGCAATTCTTCCTTTGCCTTCAAAACAGCAAGATTAATAAGGAAAATCTTGTGGATTGTTTTCCTAGAAATCCAAACCTTTGCCTACAGGCAAGTTTGGAAGTGTGTGCAGGCTGCATTGCTATATTGGGTTTGCTTTACTCATCATAAGCTGTACTCAACCCAAGATCAGCTATCCTAAGAGCACGTTCTTCAAAATTAATTGTTTATATTTCACTCCCCTACAATCAGAGCTAAAGAATTATAAAGAACCTAAAGGAATCTCAATGGTGTATGCTACTCATTCTTTCACACAAAAAGGGTATTCCAGAAAAGTGACATTTTGGTACCTGAAAAATACTTCCAGAGTGGTACAATCATCCCCTGGAGGACTAGAGTAAGCCCTTACTTACTGTTGAATTTTCTCTACTTCCTCTGCTTCTAACTCTGCAGCAGTTTTGCAGGTGACAGGTCTCAAGCGCTGCTTTGTTCTCAGCACTGGTGTTTTGGGGTTTGTGGGCCGAGCCTTCATCGGCTTTCTTGAAACTGAGCCTACAATTTCAAGTCACAGAGACCAGCAGTTAATGGCAAGGCAACAGACACAGGCCATTTGCTCAGAGTAGTCAAAGCATCTCTTGCTCTACCATCAATGTCTGTGGACACGGCCAGGACAACTCACCTTCCTCAGATTTCCTGCTCCTCAAATGGTAACGAGGGGGTGTGCGTTTTTGGAATGCTTCTACCTGCTCAGCAAAGGACACATATTCTGTTGTGGCTTCTTCAAGTTTTCTTTTGTTTCCCTGGGACAGATTGAAAGGTTTGGGGACAGTGTGTCCCTTTGGCATTCGCACCTGGAGACAGAAAACCACAGTCAGTATGGCCAGGAGGTTTTGATGACATTTCCCTTCCCCACTGACACACAGTATCTGTCCCTTCCTCTCACTGCAAAGAAGATAACACCTCACATTAAGCACAAGAGTCAACAGTCTGAAAATGCACAAGTTATATTGGGAAACTGTATCGAGCAGATTAAAGCACAAAGTGGAAAGACTGGACGATCTGAAGGGCTCTTAAAGGGCTCTTTTTCCACAAGGTTTCTTTGGAGTCTTGTGGCAACACAGACACACAGGAAGTCTGCAGTCACATTTGCACAGCACCTGCCTCCTGTGGTAACCTCTCTGTGGGTATCAGCCCAAGCATTGCACAAGCAGCAGGGAGGTGATGGCAAGAATCAGTGAGCTGAGTGCTGGCAATACTCTGGCTCTCACCGGAGAAGGAGGATGCTTCCTCAGGACTGCTGCAAAATCCAGCTCCTTGTACTCATTCCCAGGCTGGTTTTCTGCATTCTGTTTAATCCTATCCTCCGTGCAGAAGTGGAAATTAATTGGCTTTGTTACTTGACCAACAGGTTTCTTTATGGGTTGTCCTAGAGAAAAAGGACATGTAAGGACTGGAAGACTTTTGCTGTGGGGTACGATTTGTGGAAATAAAAAAAAAAAACCAATTTCTAACAACTAGGTAAATTTTTAGAGAACTCATCTTTAACATTTCAAAACATGACATAACCCAAACCCACCTGTTTCCAGGCAGTTTAGGGGCTGATCTACATTAAATGGCTCCTAATATTTATTGCAAAGTATGAAATGCTTGTTTTCAAAGGTACTTGCACAGCTCTGTGCAGCACTCTCCAGCTGAGCCCAATGCAGCCTCACTCAGCAGTTCAGGCAGAGCCCACCTGCTCCAGCAATAGCTGCTTTCAGAGACTCCTCGTTCTTCTTCCGCAGCTCCATAACCTCCTGCTGCAACTGCTGCATCTTTTCCAGCTCCTGCTCCTCTGTACTCTTTGGCTTGCTAGAAGGTTTGGTCCTCCTGCATAAGCACATTAAAAACTAAGATATACCTTTCTGCTTCCCTGGTTATTAGCATGATGTTTGTGGCTTATCTCCAGCCTCACTGCAGGAGCATCACCAGTTATAAAAACATCTTTAGAAGAGATCTGCTTGGGTTTTGTTTGTTCAAGAAATCTCACAGCTAGCTGCTATTCTGCAGACCTGTTAGCTGTGTGCATTCTTGATCCATTAGGAAGAACAACTTTTTCCTCAAAAGAAAAGCAAAAGCTTTCCAGTGCAGAGGTTCAGTTGGTGAAGTACATTTCATCCTAATATTGTTGCCTTGACCCAGTGTTTACTAAATGTGATACCATCACATGCTAAGTTGAAGCTGAAAACACTCAGCCAGGACTGTCACCTAAATCAACTGTGATTAGCACACAAGTCACAAGAAAGCCACGTACTTCAACATTGTTGGCGTGGAGGGCATGGTCTGTTTGCTTTTCCCTCTCCCTGGAGAGAGGTCAGGATCCTGCAGGGGCTCTTTCTTTGTGGATACTTCTGTTGCCTTCTCTCTGCTACCAGAACTAGGAGAAAAAGTTGTTAGTTGTTTATTTAGAACTGTGTTCTAAATAAATTACCACCTGCAGCTCTCACCACCATGCATAAGATCCCAACACCTGGTGAGGTCTAAGGTATGCCAGGCTGGCCTTACCTCACCCCAGGCCCAGGTACAGACCATCCAGCTTTCTCTGGTACTCTAAGGCTGCAGAAGGGAAGATGAATTACTGAGTTTTTGGAACTTTTCTGGAGAAGGGAGGTACACTGTAGATCACTGAGATACAGCAGTGTTTCAAAGATCACACTTCAATTTCCTGACCTCAAGCTTATCACCATATGATACTTTAGTGGTTAAGTTAATTTGAGAAATATTTTAGCTGTGACTCTTTCATAGCTAATGATTGCCTGATGACTTCTGGACGGATAAGTTCAGACAAATTTAAAGCTGACAGACACTGAGTAAGAAGGTGAAGAAGCCCATGCTTATTTAATTCACATCTTCACCTGCAAACAGAGCAATTCCTTCAGCATTTACAGCCATTTCTTGTTCATGAAACCAGTATCAGCAACCAATTCCAGCCACTACCCCCTAACCTTCCTGTAAGGACTGTCTCAGACAGGCAGAAACCCTTTCCAAAGAAATAGTTGTGTCCCTTTTCCCAACCCTAAACAGAAGGACTTGGATGACATACAGTCTCATTTTCTTCAAGGGTGGAACATCTTCCTTATTATCCAGGGCATTAGCAATTCTCTCTGCTTTGATTCTGCCTGGCTGCTTGCGCTGCTGGGTCTTCCCCTGCTTTGTAGCAAGTCTCCTGCCTGGTCTAGAGTAGAACATAAAGCAGAAGTCAGTTTTCCCATAGATCTGAGGACACACCTGACCTGGATAACACATTCATGCCAGTGCATCCCCTAACTCTACCACACAAATTGTGTTTAACACAACAATCCAAACACAGCATGATTTATTAAAATTTAACAATGCATAAACTAAATATTCTTTGCTATTTATGAGCACGCAGAGCTTGCATTCATATCAAGAATGAGTTCTGCCCAAGTCAGGCAGATATAAACAAAGAAACTTTATAAGCCATCTCAGTTTCAGATATCCTCACATTCCAGAAGCTCCTGGTGCTGCCGAGTCTCATTTGACAAGTATGTGAGACACTGCATTACATTTCCACCCTAGAGACTGCCCCTCCAGCCTAGCCAGCAGATCAGATGTCCCAGTGCACCATCTCCATGTTGGAGAACTCCAGCCCCACAGGATGCCCCAAGAACAGCTTAGAACTGCAGATCCTGAGAGCAAGGACCTGCTTAGTTACACCATCATCAATCATTGCACAAACTGAACACAAATATTTCACCTCTGAGGGGCCTCTGCAGGGGCAGCAGCTCTCCAGGTTGCCAGGGACCCAACGATATTCTGAGGGACCGTGTTGCCCTGGGCACATTCTGCTTCACCATTGCTTTCACCTGAGAAAGGGGCAAGGGTCAGCTCATCTATACACACATATACAGAACAACAACAAGTAAAAACACATTTTAAAAAAAGACCTTGCAGATAAGAGTTTATGAAGATGGCCCCACAAAAGGCAGACAGAGGCCTTTCTATTTTGTCAGTGAAAAGCAGGTAAAATTTATTCCCTCCCTGCCACACCATGCCAGCTTACTCATTGCTACTTCTTGTGAAGGGACAGAAGGCAGAAAAACATCAGGCTTTGAAGAACCAGGGCTGCAGTGTGAGACGTTTGCCAGATTTTCTGCAGGAGGCACATTCTCCAGATTGGCTTTTTCATCTGTAAGGAGAGAAAGATTTTCACCATACACATTGTCAGGAATTGTTAACAATACCCCAGAATATCATTATGAGGTTAAGAAAGGCAAGTTACAGATGACAACATTTAAATACAAAAAAACAACACAAGAAACGTCATGCATGATGAATTATGCAGTTAACACCATGATTAATTGGCACAGAAGCCAGGCCCAAAACAAGGATCACACCAAGGTGTCATCCAACGAGGAAACACCTCAAGGAGTTGGAAGCAACTTACCAAACCAGGAGTCTGCATTGTGCACATCATCCTCATTCAGAGTTGCAAAATCGATGCAGATGTTTGGGACATCAAAAGAATAACGGGATTCTGGCTTAGACATCTTCACAGTCACACTGTCCCCAAGAGTCCTCTGTCTGCACTGCCACAGCCCTTTAGACAACAACAGGGAATCAGTGGAATCATCCCCCACCTCTCTTCCTCTGCAGAGTTTCTAGGGACAGGCATTGGGACAGCCTTTGGAACATCCCCCCTTCTTGCACTTCACACCTTTGGGCAGAACTCCTCATGAGCAATGCAGAGTTTTATTCTACTGCTGATCTGCAAAGCTAAGGATATTTCACCACTGTTGACATTTGCAGGTTCAAAACTATCCGAAAGATCAAGTTTTGATGGGATTTTTTTTTGTACTTGCAGGTGCCAGTATTGTATTTTTTAAGGAGTAAAGTATAAAGCTTTTCCAGAGAGTGACTGATTTCCACTTCCTTCCCTCACCACACACAAAGAAGAGTTCTTACCCTCACAAGATTTACAAATCTGATGAGATTCACTCCAGAGCACTGCAATGCACAGCCTCTTTCCCTGAAGGGCTACAAAAAAGAACTAGTGGCATAAAGGTGCACTTCTATATAATTGATTTTCAAAGCAGGAAGAGGGTTCTGCAGAACACTGTAACTGGGCAAACAGTCAGAAGGAGGGCAGTGTCAGGCCCTCTTGCATTCCTTAGCACTAGCCCAAGGCTGGCCAGGCTAAAAACAAACTGAGCACTGTGACCCATGTCAAACAGTCCCTGCAGTTAATTAATGAAGCACTGACAGCAAGAGGAGTCCCTGTGTCAACAGGTGATATTAAACTCAACAGAACAGGAATAAAGCCAGTGACAAAGTTATAAACCCTGAAATTATACAAAACCTTCTTGCAAAGGTGCTTTTGTGATGCCTTGAACAGATGTGACGCAAAGCCCACGAGGATATTATAAAACACTCCCCAAGGAAATCACCTGAACTTTGCTTTTATGAATCCAAGCAATTCCAAAGCAGTATATTCCTAACCCACAGAGCCTCAGCCCTAAACCATCTGTCTAGGCAGACCACACATGGTTCAAAACCCAGATGGTGTTCCTCAATAAATAAGAAAATGGTCAAGAGTAAAGCAAAGCAGGTTTAGGGGGTACCATGCTGGTCTCAACCACTGGTCCCCGAGGATGGGTGCACTGAGAAGCCTCCAGCTCCCCAGAGCAGAGCTGTGATAGTTAAAGGCAAGAATGTCATTAGAGAAGCACCAGCTACATGGCTGGGAAGATGTCAAGGTAGGGCCCAAAGAAGGCAAACAGAAGAATTAGAGCCAAAACCAACTGTAACTGAGCTCGAGACACGGCTGGAATCAAATGCTTTCCTACTGCCCTTAATCAAGATAGAATTTCTGTCAACACTTTAGACTTTTTTAAAAATCAAATGCGTCATCTGCATTCTCCCCTCACCCTCTCCAGTCAGAGTCAGAGCTCTGGGCATCATGTTTCACAGCTACTTGTGCCCACTGCTACGTTGCTGCAGTTTGCAGCTTTTTACTGAGTAGAGCCCATACTCCATAGTGTCACCACCCTCATCATCGACCCCTTCTCCCCCCTCTATCCCAGACAGAAGAGAATAGTCAGGAAAAGGAAAGGATTGTATCACTGCCTCAGTTTCATGAAAGAGACAACAGGAAGATAGAAGTTATTGTGACTGAACTCCAGAAAGTCCATTTCAGTCAGATGAACTCATGGCATTTGCTTCTCAAATCCCTACATATCCTCCACGTCCTGCCTGGAACAGGACTGATGGTGAAGCAGCTCACTGAGAGGCACTCTGCTCCTCCGCCCACCCACTCGGGCTGGGACAGGGATCAGCCAGGAATGCTCCGGTGATTTATCACCCCTGTGCCCACCAAGAGGCATCTGCAATCCCAACAGGCTCTGCCAAGCACAGCCCAACACCCGCTGCCCACTCCCTGCAGGCATTTTAAAAACACCCGGTCGTGATTCCGACAGCACAGCCACATTTATCTCAATCCAAAATTCTCTCTCCACCGCAGCATTCATCCACCGGAAGGGAGGCGTAGAAATTTTTCCTCATTAATAGGGACGTTCCCTAATTAGCAGGCGCTGTGTGCATTTCCCAGGCGTGATTACAGGCACGCTGTAATCCTACACAGCTCGGCGTGGATTTAAAGCATGACCCTGCTCTCCCCCACATCCATCACCTCCTGTGTCGACACGGGTGTCTGCAGCGAGCCAGCCGGGGAACCCTCGCCCCGTTCTGCAGGATCAGCTTTCACCTGCTCTGCAGAGCTGCCGAGGCAGGAAAGGAGGATCTGATCTTCTCTCCTGCAAAAAGACCCCAAATTCCTTCTAGAAAGTGACTACTTAATTAAAACCTTTATTTGCTTTCTGGGTCTGCTCTCCCGCTGACCTAAACGTGCCTCCAGAGCAGCACAGCCGTGTGCACAGGGAGGAAGAGGCAGTGGGCTCCTCTGGACATCAGGCTTCTTTTGAGTAACTACACTTTGGCACGTTCCAGAAGAGTGCCTTGGCATGGTTTAGATTAGTTAGCTTTGAAAAAGGATTACACTAAATTGGAACAAGCATTCCTATCCCAGAATAAGACTGATCCAACAGCAAGTGCAATAGGTATTTTGGAATAACTTCACACCTCGCTCTAATCCAAATTAGCTTTAAAATACTGACACAATTCCATCACAGATGTGTTCAGTGTCTTTGCCTTAATGTAGTTGGGAATTTTGTGCCAACAGCACAATTTGCCTGGACAAATAAGCTTCCAGCCATTCAGGCCATGGTGTTGGAGATAGAATGCAGCATTCCAAGATGAGAAATCAAGGTCAGAGGAAGAGAGAATGGAGCAGTGTGGGAGAGCAACAATGACAGGATAGGGACAAAGAAAGGTTGTGATAGGACAAGTGGGAATGGCTTCAAACTAAAAGAGGAGAGATTTAGATTGGATATTAGGCAGAAAATCTTCCCTGTAAGGGTGGTAAGGCTCTGGCAAGGGCTGCCCAGAGAAGCTGTGGCTGCCCAGTCCCTGGAAGTGTTGAAGGCCAGGTTGGACAGGGCTGGTCCAGTGGAAGGTGTCTCTGCCAGAAGGGTGATGGGGAGTTGGAACAAGATGAGCTTTAAGGTCCCTTCCAACCCAAACCAGTCTGGATCCTGAGGAAGGCAGAGACATCTGCTCTTTCTTGACACCTTGCAATGTGGATAAGGCCCTGGTGAACTGGAGATGATGCCTTATCACAACACACCACTGGTGCTTCACAAGTTACAAATGTTACTTATGGCAAATCCTACCAGGATCAGAAAGCAAAGTAAACAACAACAGACACACAAGAGGCTATTCTAAGTTACACCAGCAGATAAACACAAAGCCAGCTGATCCACATGCCTCAGGAACCCAAGACAGGCAACCAGGAACAAGCAAGAGAAGCTTCCCCAAGGCTGAGGCAGCTGCATGGGAATGTGCTCCAGCAATTCCAGGGCCTGCTGCTGGGCTTCAACACCAGCTGCCACTTAAACACAGGATGCTGCAGTAACCAGGCAGCTTTAACTCAGCCTGGCAGCTTCTGTTCTTTTTAGTGGGATAATAATCCAAAGGTCCTGGATGCTTTTCAGGGGTTAACATGTAAGTTGGAGCATTAGAAAGGGGTTAACATGTAAGTTAGAGCATCTCTGAAGCTACAGTCCTGTCACAACAGCCTGGTGAGAACCATCCCACCACAAAGCCATCACCTGAACTCCCTCTGCATGACACTGACAGCCTCAGAAAGTCACCCTTCATCCTTGCTTTTCCCTGAGCAGGGTCAAGTGAACACTTCCAACACACTCTGGATCTACAGCTTCTCCCTCCTCTCTCATTCCCCTGACTCAAAGTTCACCGGGCTTTTCTGCAGCACAGAATCAACAACGGATTCACCATCCCCCAAAACGCTGCTGTTCCACCATTTAATGCCCAAACTGGGACACAAAGCCTTTAACTGTCCCCAGCTGAGAGCTGAGCCTGCAGAAAGCTCCGCAGACCACCCCGAGCGGCAGCAAAGCAGGGGCAAAGTGCTGGCACAGCCTTTGCTCTGCTAACGGCCCAGACCCGCCCCCATCCCAAAAATAAGCCCTGACATCTCCGGCTCCCTAAAAAAGATCCCACAGGTTTTAGAAGACATGAAGATGGGACATTCTAAGAATAGATGTTCAAGGAAAATAAAATTATTTTTAGCTAGCAGAGCCTCAACTAATTGTTACATTAAGTTGAAGGTCCTCTAGCTTAAAAAAAGCCCCGCATAAAAATAGTCCCCCGATGTTTTTTCTGTTACTTGGGCCAGGTTTTGCCTGGTTTGCTTCCCTCCTTTTCCTGGGAAGCGGGATTTGGACCGAGAAGAAGTTACAGAGCTTCCTGTCGTGAAATACACTGTTTCATCGGATTTCGTGATTGTTTAAAGACTTAGAACTTTATTTCACTGCCGAGGCACCCACCCCACCGTAAGGCGCTCCGGTACCGCGATCCCCCCGGGGAGCGGGACCCCCCCTCCACGGCGGCTCCTCCGCGGCCGGCCGGGGGCTCCGGGCCCGGCTTCCCCGGGGAACGAGGGGTTCGCACTCAACCCCCGGGGCTCCGTTACGAGCCCGCCCGCCAGGCGCCGCGATAGCGGCTCCGACCACGGGCTGAGCGGCCGGAGCCGCCTTCCGCCTCCGCTCCCCAGCCGAGCCCTCGGCCCCGTTACCAATACCTGGGCTCGGAGTAGGCCCAGGGAACAGCCGCGTCGCCAAGGCCGGAGCGAACGACCAGATACGGGGAAGGGTTGCCGGTCGGGGAAAGGAAGGCGAGGCCGGGGGCGTCCGGCCGGGACCCCCGCACTCACCTCAGCAGCGCCGCCGCCGCCACCCCGCGCGGCGCCTCTGCCGCCGCCGTTAACGGATTTCAAACAGGGCTCGGCAGTCCGAACCCACCAATCAGCGCCTGGCACACGCCCTTTGAGGCGCGCTGATTGGCTGGACTTCTTGAGGACCCGGATAAGCAGACCCCGAGCAGCGCAGTTGCCCTCTCCCGGCATGGCCTGACGGGAAATGTAGTACGTGCTCGCACAGCGCCACAATGACCAGGCGAGAACCGAACCACAACTCCCATAAGCACAGCGGGACACAATAGACCAATCAGAAAAGGCAGTGCTTTGAGTGTCATTCTGGGCGGCCTATCAGCGGCTGGTGGGCGGGTCCCCGGAGTCAGTGTCAGCCGGTGCGGCCGGGCAGGAGCCTACCGGAGCCGGCTGTGGTACTGTGGCTGTATCAGTGTCCGCTGGCCGGCTTCCACCGGCTGCTCCTCAATTCAGCAATTCAGCCCTTCTGACTGCTTGGCTCGGGGAAGGCGGCTTCCACCGCCTGGTAAGACCGGCTAGGTTTCTCGATGCTGTGAGGAGAAAGTGCCCTTTGCTTAGCGGCGTTATCGACCCCAAGTGCTGCATAATCTTCCCCGCAGCCTTGCAGAGAGATGGGTAGCCAGTTGTTAACGGCGGGGCAGGCCCCGGCTGCCACAGTCGCTTTCACTGTTGCGGCACTACCCGCATAAATCTCCCCTCACAGAACCGCCACGGCTCCCTGAGCATTGTGGAGACACAAAACACCCCACGTTAGTCCCGGACGGCTGTGAGGGGTTTGCGGGCGTGTCAGCGGCAGAGGTATGCCGGCAGGGCGCGGTGAGAGCGGAGGCCCGAGCTGACCCCGCCGCGGCCGGCAGGGGGCGCCAGAGCCCCGCGCTCCGCCCGGCACCTTCGCGCCTGCGCACCGACCCAGCCGACACGGCGCGTGCGCACCGTGCCCCCGCGCAGTCCAACCGACGCTCCTCGCCCAGCCTCGAGGCGCCGTGCGCATGCGCACCGCCCCCTTGCTGCCCCCTCCCACTCTACCGCACCCCCCCGGCCGCTCGGCGGGCGATGTGGAAGGAATCCCGGGACTGCTGAGCGGGCCGAGGCCCGGCGGGGCTCCCGGCGACCTCCGGCGTCGCTGCCAGCCGGGCCCGCGCGGCAGAGCCGGGAAGGACGCGGACCCTCAGTCGGGCGCTGAGGTGAGGGGCGGGGTAGGGTAAACCTTGAGTGACGCGCGACTCAGCCAAAGGGAGAGGCCGAAGCCGGGCCCCGCCCCTCCTGGCCGCTGATTGGCTGGCAGTCCGGCTGCGCGGGCGCCGTGTCGGCCCTCGTGCGCGGCCCCGCCCCCCAGGTACGGCGACCGGTGGGGCCGTCCGGGGACCTGGGGGGGGCGATCCGGTGACGGGGGGGTGGCTCGGGGGTCTGGGGGAAGCGGTCCGGTGGTGCGGGGGCAGTCCGGTGGCCGGGAGGACCGGCTACCCCCTGCGGCCCTCCCGCCTGCCGCTGCCCGGCGTGTCACCGTCCCGGCCCCAGCGGCAGCGCGCCGCTAACCGTGACTGGAATCGCTCCCGTAAGGACGCAGGGCCGTGCGGCGGCTCCCGCGGTGACGAGCGCTCGCCGGTTTCAGCGGTTTATCCTCTCCGCCCGCGGGGAGCGAGGGGCTTCGGTGAGGCGGGGGCTGCGGTTACCGTCAAAGCGGGCCCCCCCGGGGCTGCCGTGATCCTGGGGTAGCGCTGCCCGCCCGCTGCAGCCGTTGGGTAACGCCGGCGGAGGGGGCGGGGGCGCCGGGTCCTTTAACGGGCGGGGCGAGGCGGGGGCGGTGCTGTCGCGTTCCGGGCCGACCCGAAGCTCCAGCAGAACAAGAACCGCCTCCGCCCCGGCCCGCAGCCGGCCTGCCAGGCGCAACCCGCACCCGGTGAGATCTGGGGTCTGCTCGGAGCGAGCCTGGGGGTCCCCGCGGCTCGAGGCTGCTTTCCGGGGGAGGGGGTGTTGTGGTCGGTTTTCCGTGCAGCTTCAATCTGGTGGCCCTGAGCCTCGGCGTAGAGCTGCGGGGTGATCTCAGTATAACGATAAGCTATCGGTGGTAATGGCGCGGGTGCATCTAAGAGCTGTGGCAATAACCGTTTCGGTGCCTTTCTCCTCCTCTGTGCTAAGGTCAGATGCTTCCATCGGTGGCGAGGAAGAGGAGCAGAGTCGGAACCTGCTAAGTGCTGATCTGCTTGTGCTCCGGACCATGGACTCATTGAGGGCGTCCCAGGTGTGAAAATGTACAGCAGTAACCGGGAGTTAGTGATTGACTTTGTTTCCTACAAGCTCTCACAGAAAGGCTACAGCTGGAGTCAGCTGGAGGAGGAGGATGAGAACAGGACTGACTTTGCAGGGGAGGAGGACGAGATGGACGGGGTCCTCAACGGGAGCCCCTCCTGGCACGCGGCCACCAGCCACATAGTGAACGGAGCCACCGTGCACCAGAGCAGCCTCGAAGTCCACGAGATCCGTCGAGCAGCCGACGTGAGGCAGGCGCTGAGAGAGGCGGGGGATGAGTTTGAGCTGAGGTACCGGCGGGCGTTCAGCGACCTCACTTCCCAGCTCCACATCACTCCCAGCACAGCGTATCAGAGCTTTGAGCAGGTAGTGAACGAACTGTTCCGCGATGGAGTGAACTGGGGCCGCATCGTGGCTTTCTTCTCCTTCGGAGGAGCCCTGTGCGTGGAGAGCGTTGTTAAGGAGATGCGGGTATTGGTGAAACGCATCGTGTCTTGGATGACCACGTACTTGACCGACCACTTAGATCCCTGGATCCAGGAGAATGGCGGATGGGTAAGAACACGTCTCTGTGCTGGGGGTGGCTGCCCGTGCCCTCCCTCGCTCCAGGCTGGCAGTGGGGCTGGTCAAACCAGAGCACAGCTCCCTGCAATGTTTGTGCTAGAGCTTGTCCTACCCCTTGCAGGGAGGATAAAGGGCTGTGTGGTCTTGCCTTCTGTGCTCTTAACAATGTCCCAAGAGGGCAGCCCACCGTGTTGACACAGTTTGTGCTCAGATATGTCTTTCTCCATCCCTGCTTTTTCTCCTCCCTGGATGTTATGTAAAAGACCTGTTTTTCTAAGAGCCTTTGGAAATCTAATGTCATCCAATCTTGTTCTTCCAGCAGAGCCCTGGCTCTGGGGCATGTTCCCGGTGTCATTAATAGCAGGGAGTGGAGCTTCCTCCTCTCCAAGGCAGTGTTGTGGTGGGCTGGCTGGTGGTTTGCCGAGGTAGCAGCTACTTCTTCATTCTGGAAACAGCTTTTGCCTTGCTCGTGGTGAAGTGAATCCCACAGCAGATCCTGGTGGGTGGGTGGGCTTCTGGGACTGTCTGAGCTGGTGTGGTGGGAGCCAGAGCTGAGGTGGAGGCAGTCTCTGTGCTGGGGAGCTGCTAAGCCCGCAGCTGCTTTTCCCTTGGCAGGGAGCAGTGCTCCCAGCTGCCCCAGCAGCAAACCCTGGGAGCTCTCAGTGGTGAGGTATTAACATGAATAAGCATTTCTTCAGGAAGCATTCTTGAAATGCCGGGTCCGGCTGTGCGGTGCAGCCTGGGACTGCCGGCGGGAGGTATATGACCTACAGATGTCTGAGTTTTCATTTGGCTTCTGCATCTTAGTGATTCCCTGCTGGTGTAACCTTTACCGGTTCCCACTGGAAAGAGTTCATGCTGTCAGGCATTGGCATCTAAACAGCGGGGAGTTGCCTCCTTGCTGGGAGCTGAGGCCTCTCAGCCCCCTTCAGCTCGCGGTACATTGGCAGAGCCCAGCATTTTGGGAAGGGGAGAGGAGCCTTTGAGCCCAACGTTGTGCTCTGCACCCTCCTTGCAGAGAAGAGGTTCTCCCCAGCTCCCCGTGCCTGCCCAGCAATGCTGGGGACCCTGGAGAAGAAGGGGAGCTGCTGCACCCAAGGGGAGGGAGCTGGTTCAGGAAGGGTGAAAGAATTCCAGGAATGTGACCGCCCTGGGGCACTGCCTGGGTGGGGCTGCTCAGGCAAGGAGAGGAGCTTGGTTTCGATTAATGGCCTGGGATCTGCTGGCCATTTCATCTGGCTCTATGTGGCCCATTAGCTCTCTCATCCTGCAGATAACCTTGGCCAAATACAGACTTCCTTCCCCCTCCCTATGCTTTTGGCTTTTAGAGCCACAGATTAGTTTTGGAATTAAGTGATCAAACTGAGGTTTCCAAGCTAGTGTGGCTGTTGCTGTTAGTGACGGATTGGGCTGTATCCTGGAGACCTAGGCGATAATGCAATCTGATTTTTTGTAAATGAACTCTCTGGGGGATTTAGATTAAATCACTGGTGGAAAATCACTGGTCCCTGCTTGTGGGGAATCAAACACCTCCTCCCTCTGTTCCCCACCCCCAACCATCACGATTCAGCCTCTTCAATTTTTTTGTGTCTGTCTCTAAATTAATTGTTTGGAACAAATATTTGTTCAACAGATTGCGGAAGGGTCAGGACTCCTCTCTATCTGACCCGCCCACCAGCTCTCTCTTTGAAAAACGCCGTTTCCCACTCAGGGGACCGCCTTGCTCTCTTGTTCTAACCTTGAACCAGGCTTTTAACTTCCCTGCCCAGGCTGTGCCGCTGCCTGGGCTGTGCTGGGAACTGAATGGAAGCCAGGCAGGGTGGTGAAGGCCAGAGTGTGGGGAGTCCACACCACCAGCCACGAAAAAACCAGCGCTGGGCAGTGTTGCTGCTGCCAGCCTGTTGCAAACCCTGAGTGCTCATTTGACATCTTGGCTGTAGCTTTCTTCCACTCTCAGCTTTCATCATGTTCCTTCCTGTAGGAAGCCATGCCACTCCACACCAAGGGACAGAGGCCATAAGAGCTCCTGAGTGCCTCATGTGTAGGGTATGCATGGGGATGCTTTGCTTTCCTTCGCTCTCGCGATTCCAGCTGCGGGGAGAAAGCCTCTGGCCTTCTGCCAGCTCTCCCTGCAAGAGGAGTGCCACCCTGCCCTGGCTGTGATGGAGCCATCCCTCTCCTGCCGCCCTGTTTGCACAGGGAGTCTGTTTGTTGCATTGGAGCTGTTACAGCATGTCCCATTCAAACAAAGCACTCCCGAGAGGTGCAGCAGGCAGGTCCTGGTGAGAGAGATGCAAGTTCTGGCAGGCCTGCTTGGCAGGGCCCAGGTGGTTTGTGTTTTGGAGGACTGCAGCACTTCTCTTCCTGGAAAGCCCCTCTAAAAGAGGGAAGGAGCATGGCTCCATAATAAGAGCTGCACAGCCCATTTGTGTAGGAAGCTCTGTTCCATTCCCCACCAGTGGAACAAAGGCAGCAGAGGAGGGCCACGGGGTGCAGGTGCCATTGGAGGCTGCTGTGTGCTGGGCTGTAGCAGTTCTCTTGAGAAATCAAGTTTTGAGGCAAGGGGAAATAGTAAATCTTGCTCCATAACGTTAACATAGAAGTGTTTTGTCACATTTACTGGCTCTGCCTTGGTTTGCCCTCTGCTGTGCAATCTGGTACTGGGAAAACAAGCAAACAAGAGCAACCCAAGGGGAACATTTAATAACCAGCTAGAAGAGAGCTGCTGCCTTGGCAAGCCATCCCATCCAAAAAGGAGGCTTTCCTGGGCCAGTTGCTTTGACCAGGACCAGGTCCCACTAGCTGTGAAGTTGAAATGGTGGTGCCAGCGGGGATTGGGAGTTGTGGAGGGAGAAATCTGGTGAGTGGGAAGGAAGGAGGGGGAAGTGCAGGGTGAACGGGAGAGAGCCTGGCAGGCAGAGATGTACTGACCGTGCCTAATCTGTTTGAGAAAGGAAAGTGAGCAGTAGTTCCTGCCTGGCTGTGACCCTCCAGTGCATGACAGCTTTTCCTTCAAGGCTAAATCCACATTCAGAATGGGATTTAAGGAGGGTTTTCTGGATGAGCTTGGAGTTAGATCTGTGGATATAGAGTCAGGAGGTTTGTGGGGCATATGGTCAGGACCCACATAAAGGGGCTGCATCAGGCTAGAACTGAAACAAGTAGCATCTTTAGCACCAGCCAGTGATATGTGAATCCCAACAAACTGTACTAGGCTGATGGAGAATGAGCTACGTCCTGCGATGGCTCAGTGCTTCCTGGGTTCTCACTTGACCCTGCTACACAGGACTTGGTGTGCTAGGACATGTGTTGTGTCACCCTGCAGAGGACTAAAAGCTTGTGATTCTCTTTGGGGAAAACCCTTTGAACATGTCAATATAGCAAGCTCATTTTTATCTTTTAAATTTTTTTTCTGAATGATAGGAAATGACTCAGCCTGTGTCATATGACAGTGCACAGCTGGGATTTCGTCCTGTGCTCTGGCTCCAGGCTCCTCAGTGGTTTCAGGTCGAGAGTTAGACTTTGATTCTCGGCTCTTGGAAAATGCTTTTTGGCCTTGTGTCCCAGGTATGCTGCACAAGCTGTCCCTGCCACTACCACATTTCCTGGGAGTGTGCGGTTCGCCAGAGTTCTGCCCTTCTGAGTGTTACAGGTTGGGTTTTGGGGATACCCTGGCACTTCTAATCCTGTTTGAGATCACAGCCATTCGTTCCACGTGGTGGTCAACGTGCAGCAGAACTGACTCACTGGAAATGACTGAGCATAGCCAAGGCTGTGCTTTGCTGTCTTGAAGATGAATCCTGTGGCTTCATCTGAGTCTGAGAGAATTGGGGTTGTTCAGCCAGGAGAAGAGAGGGCTCCCTGCTAGTGCTTAAAGAGGCTCCAGCAGAGGTGGAGGGGGACTTTGGACAAGGGCATGGAGTGATAGGACAAGGGGGAATTCCTCCCCCCTGAGGGAAGGCAGAGTTAGATTGGCTATTAGGAAGGTTCTCTGCCCTGTGAGGTTTATGAGACACTGGCACAGGTTGCCCAGAGAAGCTGTGGCTGCCCCATCTCTGGAAGTGTTCACAGTAAGGTTGGATGGGGCTTTGAGCAACCTGGTCTGTGGTGCTCAGCTGTACTGTTGCTTTGCACTTTGTCCTCGGTAATTATTTTACAGCCTTGATCCCTTGCAGCTGAGACGATGGCCCCATTGTCATCACCTGCGTGGGGTGAAAAAATTACTGTCCTCCTGCCAGTGGGGTTCCCCAGGTCCCTTCACAGTCCTGGGTATTCCTCCCTGGCTGTGGGAGGTGCCAGCAGTGTCCTGACTCAGGCTGTCCTGCCTGGACCAACCAGCCCAGGTAGCTGTATCCCCACTGACAGCTGGAGATCTGGGCTCAGTGTGCAGATCCCTGCTGGCAGCTCCTCAGCCAGCCTTCGACCTGGGAGGCTTTTCTGCAGTGCTCTCCAGGAAATGCCATTGGAATGACTTCCACTGCAGCTTCCTGCCCGGCCCACAGCAGCATTCCTGCCGCTAGACCAAGAGCAATGCAGAGGCTGATTTCAGAGCTTTGCTCTTTACCCCCTTTACTGGTTCTCCTTCTTTGGGGCCCTGCCTGTTTTCCTTGCTGCCTCTCGGTGTGTGGTGCAGTTTGATTACGTTCCTTAGATCTGTGATTACAGCAGGCGCCTGGAAAGCCAAACTCCTGCCCGTGGCTGGCTGTGGCTCAGAGCAGCCCACTTAACCCCGGGGTCTTTGAGCGAAAGGGATAGCATTTCCTTCACTCCCAGGGGAGCCACTGGCAACTCTGATTCGTAAAGCACTCCGAGGCTCTTTAATCCGAAGAGCTGAGTGTCATTTAAAAAAAGACCTGTGAAATAATTAACAAACTGTTTCTTGCTGCTCTGTGTTCACAGCTGCTCTCAGTAATGTCATTCCGCCTGCTCATCCTGCTCCTCTCTGACGCTGGAGCCGTGTCCCTGGAGCGCTGCCCGGGGTCTCTCTCTGC